AATATAATTATAACTTGGTGAAAATTTTAAATATGATGGTATACAATTTTCATTTTTTTTATCCATATTTACAGTTCTGAGACTCCCGATGATCAAAAAGTACATCATTCTTTTTTATACTTTTTATTTAGCAGATCTTACTTGGAATAGAAAGGAAAATGATCGATGAGACCGATAAGTTGAGACAGAGTCCCTCTCTATAGTCACACCCCCTTTATAAGCACACTTACAAGTTACTAATAAACTTATTAAAAAAAACCTCTCTTTAGTCACATCATATAGTATTTTTATAATCACATCATTTTTTTTCTGTCCCGAGGGGTGTGACCATATCGAGGGTCGACTAGATGTTCCATTTGATTATTAAGCGTATATCTCGTGGCTTTTTCATTTCTGTAAATCACGATATTTAATATTTTGTTTATTATTATTTATAACAAGAATATAATCTTAATACGCTAACAACCATTGGTATTAGTATCATTACAGTAGATTAACAATTAACTTTAAAATTATCTTTATATAATTAGTAAGATTTTGTAATTCTGTTTATGAACTTTGTAATAATCAATAGTATTTAACATGTATTTTAGTAACTATTATTATATTTGTTTACCCTAACGATGGATTTGAAATTTACCATTACCTTTTTTTTTTTTTTAAATTTGATGTAGTACAATTTTGATTTTGTTTAGATAACAATTCATTACAAAATTTGATTGTTATGAAATTGATTTTCGTCCGAAATTGGAATTCGATTGTTTGAGTTGAGATTCCAATTTCAGTTAAATTCCACCCTTTTTTGTTAACTGAATTCCAACTTCAGACAACTTATATAGGGTGTTTTGAAAATTGGAATTCCATACCCGAATTCCTAAATTTAGAATTTGATATTTCTAATGACTTTTACCTTTTTATATATAACGATACAATTTTACACTATAAATGAATCGATGAATCCATCAGTGCAGAAAATTAAAAAAAAAAAAAAAAAATGTCTAAAACCTTTGACAAAGATTGGCATAATTGGTCCGGTAATCAAAAGAGCACCCCTACCAAAATCTTTCGACCGAAAAATTTGCAAGATATAAAAAATATTATTGAATTAGCGAAAACGAATCATAAAAAGATTCGATGTTCCGGATCCGGTCATTCTTGGAGTAGTTTAAGTGTTACCAATGATTATTTGGTACTTAACGAAAATTTGAATAAAATCGAGATTAATTATAATGAAAGGTTGAAAATTTGGACTGTTACCACCGAACCTGGTAAGTATAATTTAAAAATCTCTCATGTTTCGAATAATCCGCTCACTTTTTTGATATTATTAGGTGTGAAGTTCAAAGACCTTGATAACGCTTTGTCGGAACATAACCCTCCGTTAACTTTAACTTCCGCAACGGTATTGGATAACGTGACAACTGGAGGAGTGGTCGCACCCGGTTGTCACGGTGCGAAATGTGACAATGCAACCATTCCGGATAAAGTAATCTCAATCCAAATCGTTACATCTTCCGATGGAGAAGTTCATGAATTTTCGGATGAAATAGATCCTGAAGAAATGAGCGCTGCTAGAATCAATTTGGGTAAAATTTTTTATTCGTTAAATTGATTTGAATTGATCGTTTGATCCCTCAATAAATTTTATTATTAATAATAGGTCTCTTGGGGATCATATATAAGATTACTTTCGAAGTTGAGCCAATGTTCCATTTAGAGATGATCGATACCACCCCAGACATCAAAACTGATTGGAACGCGTCAAACATAAAGAGAATCTTTACAGAGTCTGACAGTCTTGAAATATTTTATTGGCCATTCAATACTCCTGAACTTGAGGAAGAGAATGACAAAATTTGGATAAAACAACATAAAAGGACACAAGATCCAGTTGAAAAGTCAGAGGGCCACCTCAAGTTTGAACGTGTTATACAGACTTTGTCGGTTAAATTTGGCGATCATATTTACGATTTCATGACCAAACTTCCAACCTCTACACCTTTTATAACTCATCTTCTTTTCGAAGCTGGGGTTCATGAAAATGATGTAGTTTTGTTAGCTCCGGACGCTATCCATTATCAAGTAAGTCGTCTTAATATGGATTTTCATCACGTGAAAATATCGTTCACTTAATTCAATTCCATTGACCTTTAGGCCGGTATCAGCAATATTCCATGTTTGGATTTGGAATTTTCCATCAAAGTTGATCAAGACTTTTCCAACGTTATCGAAGAAGTCAATTACATCGTTAAAAGGGTTCGTCGTCAACTTGATGCTTATTATCATCTTTTCTGTATCAAAATTCTCAAATCAACTCAACCCTTAAAAATCTTTAACACGTTTAAACAGATTTACGAAGAAGCCAGCAAAAAGAATTTCCCCGTAAACTTGACAGCTGAATTACGAATCAACAAATCATCACGTTGCTTATTAGCTACGACATACGACAAAGATCCGGATGTGAATTTCGTAATGCTTGAAATTTTATCTGTCAACGGCACAAAAGGGTTTCAAGAATTTTCCATTGAATTGGCCGAAAGATGGATGTCAAAGTATAATGCTCAACCACATTGGGCTAAATTGTGGGAATACGTGCCAAATATTATACCACACATAAAAAAATGTTTAAGTGTAGATGACCGTCTTAATAGGTTTGAAAAAGTTCGTGCTAAATATGATCCTGAAGAATATTTCTTTGATAATAAGAATTTAAGAGAAATTTTCGGTAAGGAATGACGCTCTATAAAAAGTAATTTGACCGAATGGTTCATTTCGACTCTGAGAAAACTAAGATTTTTTTAAAAGTAAAACTAAGAAAAAAAATAACTCTTCGAAAAGGATGACGCAAAACCAAAGACTTGAATCAATCTCATTAATTATTTCAGAAACGGGTTCTTCGATATATTTATTTCAATAAAAATATTTTATTTTATTCTTAAATATAAGTAATTTCATGGGGAGTTAGGAATATCGGAGTTTTTTTCCCTACGGGAAAAAAACCAACGGTATTGAAATTATACCAACTGCTTTTGTTAATATCGCGTTAAATTTGACCAAAATAACTTTTGTCTAATGTTAAAATATGCTAGGGATAGTAGAATCACAAAACTTTTGACAAATGATGATAACCAATGATTGACACTGAATTCAACTTTGAAAAAAAAAAAAAAATGATCGTGCAAATCGTTAGATTATCAAGTTTGATTTTGTTTTATATTGAATGTCATCTTTATATTCGAATTCTTTTGAAAATTCTTGATATTTGGCTAAAAATTGAAAGTTTAGTTATTTGTTCTTTCAAAATCAAAAATAAATATATATAAATATAACGCTCACAATAAAAACCTAGATTATTTCCAAAATTCCTATGACATTTCACTAAATTTATGGTTTGTAAAATGGTGACAAGTAATCCCAAGATACCTTCATTTTAATATTAATTAATCAATTAGATTACGTATTAAAAATCAAACGATTAAAATGTAAACGATACTTACTGAATATAAATAAAATGGTGTACCAAAAATCATACCTTATCAAAAACCTAAATTTACATTGATGTTCATTTATTGGATCATTCAAACAATAATGATATATGTTTTCAATTATAGCAACAAATTCACATGTATTTCCAAGATATATTATAATCATTAACATTTGTGATTCATCTCTTATCTAATAATTTTTATAAAAAAAAAAAAAAAAAAAAAGTTGATGAGATTCAAAGAAATCAACATAAAGGTCAAAATTCACATTAGCAAAAACTTAACTGCTTTTGGAATTAACAGAATATACATATGGAATAAAAGGTACCAAGGAATAATACGAAAATACAAGATATCTGTATCAATCCCATATACAACGCTATTCACATAATAAGTAATTATATGCGTGGTCCACGTAAAGTAAAATATTATTCCACCCACTACCCCCTGGGCATGCACCAAAGCCAACTGTCGCTGATAAGTCGTATACATTTCTAATTAAATTAAAGTTGGGGTCAAAACTTATAACATTTGATATAAGTTCACTTGAATAAGATAATAGAAACTTGCGTTTAATATGTTGATTCTTTGTAATTTTCAAATCTTTGTATATTGGCCAAATCCTAATTAACAAAGTCAAAAATATATACATTATCTTACTTATTTTTTAAAAAAAAAGACAACAAAGGAATCATAAATTTCATACCCCTTAATCCAGAATAACATTAAAAACATTATAATAATTATTTCAAAAATCACCGATGTAATTAATTGAATCGTATAACTTGTTTTTGAAACAATTAGTAATTGATGAGTATTCTGAACACCAGGAAAACAATTTATATCTCCACATGAATATAGGAAAGTTACTATTACAATGTTTCCTATCACCATTGGAATATTGACCATACAAAACATCATTCCATGTAAAGCTGTTCTTTGTAGGAACTGAGAAATACTTTAGAAAAAAATAGATCACAAAAATCAATAAATCCTTTGTATTAAATTAGTAATATACCGTAAATATTCCGGAAATGATATAAAATATAAAAAATCCATCGAAAAGAATTACGAGTAAAATGATATTTTTAAA